AATCTCAAATCTCTGCTTTTGTATTCTCCTTTCCCCTTGATGACTCCTGATGACTCTTCGCCCGTGGCTGTCTGTTTTTGGTTGTCTCTTTGTGGTCACATGTGCATGTAGCCTTCTGGGCCTTCTCCTAATCTGGTCTGTTCCCCCAAAACCAGGACTCAGGCCCCCCTCTGCTCTGGGGCCTTGTAGCTGGCGTCACTTATCTCGTGTTATGGGACAGTATGGTACATGCTTCCTTTGGTTCCCAGTCTGTTTTCTAGACTATGTGTCCTTGTTGGCTTTGTTGTGCTAGACAGCCTGTCTGCTCTCAGGGCCATGAGAAGCTGTGTGTGTGTCTCCCAAGCTCTTTAGAAATCCATTTAACCCCTGCTGCACATCTTGACCCCTTATAATGCATATATCTATACTTATACACCAATTCCCCCAAAACAGGCCATTTTTAAGCCAACAACGGGGCCTAGTTTCCATTTGCTGCCATGTCCATGCTTTGTACCTTCAAGCCCTAGAGAAAATCTCATGTAATGACTTGATATAGCATAGAGCATGTTGAGTAATATTCTTTCCTTGTGCCATCTCTGAAGTTCCAATATAGCTGGTAGTTCTCTTATATCCATGCAGGCGGTCTCCCTGAGACCTCTCTGAGCTGGTCTTCTTTTACCAGAACTGCCTTAAGACTTGTAAGTTTGCCTCTACCACAAGTTGTATTTTGGTCACCTTGTCACTGAACCCAAGAAGGCATTTTGGTAAACTAGAGATTGATTTTGGAAAGTCCCTAACATAAGAGGCCTTCTGGACTGTGGTGTTGGTCAGACTGAGTGCACCCAGGTGCCCCACTCAGCCTATGACCACTCCATCCCTCCCTATGACCACTCAGCCACTGTCCCTCCAATGGTGAGCTCTGTTGTTATAACAATTGTGCCCTGCAGTGGTATGTTTTCACTACCTCATATCCCCTAAACCTATAGCATCTGCTGTCAAACCCATGCCCTTACACAAGCCAGTTGAATAAGATTCAGCAGGTCTGCCTCTAAGCTACACCATATGAGCAGCTAAATTCCAGTGCCCATTCAACACCATGGTCTCTTGCCCTGATACTAAATGGCAGGATGTTTTACTACATGAAAAAGGTGAGGAACCCTAGTGGGCCAGCCTGATTTAAACTTCTCTTGGGGACCTGATTTGGTAACTACTCCATACAGTTTAAGGCAGTTTATTTGGGCTGTGCAAAGCTTCAGTAGCTGGTTTGATTTGGAGGACATTCAGCCCAATTTGGGGACCGAATCTCCAAATCCAAATCAAATCAAGAGACCAATTAAAAGCTCTGACTCGATCTGAAGCATCCAAATTGATTCAGAAAAGCTTTGGAAAAGATTTGGCCACTTCAGAGATTTGGCCATAGACTAAACAGGCAGCTGACATGGCTGCTTCCAGCTGGTAAGTCTGTTGGGGTTGCGACAGGGCGGGAAGAGGTGTGGGGGAGGGAGGAATTGGTGCTGGGGCTGGGACAAGCTGGCCAGCTGACATGGGGGAGTGTGTTGCTCAGGGAGGGTGGCAGGGTCTGTGGGATGAGTAGTGCTGGGAGCAGTCACTCTGCCCTGCTGCTGCTTGCCCGGGGGGGGAGGGGATGCAAGCGTGGCTCGCTCCAGGCAAAAGGGAGCAAGTGGCAGCAAGGCATAGCCCCTGGTCCCAGCGCTGCCACGCCTGCATCCCATGCACCCCACACTGGCTGGCAAATGGTGACATGGCAGAACCCCTGCTCCCAGTGCTGATGTGGGTGCAGTAGAGCTGGGAGTGAGTCCTATGCCCTGCTGCCACCCAGAGTGAGCGGTGCCTGCATCGCACCCTGCCCCCCATGCTGGCTGGGCCTTCAGCAGCAGTTCAGAGCCCTCGCAGCTCCCCCCCCCACTGCAGCAGAGACAGGCACTGGAGAAGCCGCAGGAGAAGTCCCCATAGCTGCCCTGCTTGGCCCTATCCCCCGCTCAACCCCACCCACCCCTCACTTAAAAAAAAAAAGAAAGCCCCATACTCACTGGCCCTGGCAGTGATGATTGGGGCCTCTGAGGGCTTGTGGCAGCATGGGGCAGTGAGGGGCAGTAGGGAGCAGTGGAGATCACCCCCCGTTTGGCATCTGTGCAGCAGCTGCTGCGTGGCGCGGGTGTAGCATGGCTCGGCAGGGCACCGTGCGCTGTCTGGAAACTGGGGCAGGTCCACATGTCAGCTGGAGCCCAGCACTGCTTTGCCCCGGGACACAGCACCCTGACGAACCACGCTGCACCCACACCGAGGGGCAGCTGCCACATGGGTACCAGGCGGGGGGGGCATTCCCAATGCCCCCCACTGCTCCGTGCTGCATGGGGGGCTCTGCCATGAGTGCCCAGAGGCCCCAATCACCGCCACTGCAACCAGCGAGTGCAGGGCTTATTTTTGCTTTTTTTTAAAGTGCCAGGAGGCTGGGGTCAGGCGGGGGATAGGGTCAGGCAGGGCAGCCATGGGGCCCTCCCCACCAGGGGGAGGCAGGCACAGCTGGAGCAGCCACAGGAGAACCTACAGCCGCCCGGCTGTGCCTGCCTCTCCCTGGCTGATCCAAATCACTGAATCTCTCTGAATCAGCATCGAATCTTTCGAAGCCAATTTGGTTGAATTGATTCAGGACAGTGATCTGAATCTCCAAATCAAATCGCTGTCCTCCAAATTGGCCAAATTCGAATCAAATACTTCCCTATTCGCACAGGCCTACAGTTTATACCCAGGCATTTGTTCCTTCTGTGACAAGAGGCATATCCTAGTACTTGTGTTTTTAGCAACGTTATGTTATGTAACAGCTCCTATTCCTACACCTGTAGAATATTTAAAGAGAGTCTGGCTACACTGTGCCCAGCACTGCATTATTTATGCATATCCAACTCTAAGCTAGCATGTTAACCACTGCTTAGCCCTGGCCAAGATGTCTGTGAGTTACGTAAGGAAGCAAAGGAGGTTGTACTGGTGGAGGGTGAATCTTTTGTGACTGCAAAGCTTATTTCGTCTTATTTATTCATGTTGCTGGACAGAGCTCTTTTGAACAATATCTGCTAACTACTTTGTGGAATTGTAGGTGCTGGTTAGGATTCTTTGTTCAGTGTCTCTTTTGTTTTAAACATGTGACCCTCATTCTCTTCATTATTTTTGTTTTTATTTGTTCCATGGAATATATTGTAACCGGGTCTTATGACATTTCCCTCAGAATGAGGACCTGGGCCTTTAGGTCTGGTCATCTTTTTGCCCACCTTTTTAGGAACTAGATAAGATCTAGCTCTGAATGAGACACGTCCAAGTCGGGGAAAATGGCATGTGATCACGTAAGTTGAATGTATGCTAACGAGTGTACACACATGAGCAGAACAATGTGCTTTCCCTAACCCACATTATCTATGGTATTTCACCAAAAGTTTCCCCCCCCAAATTCACTCTTAGATAGACATGCATAATGGGAAATATCGGTGTGAGCAGTTCAAATTATAAACAAAAAAGTAAACCTGAGAATAGAAACTCTTCTGCTGAAGCTGAGGTTAGTTTCCCTCCCTCTAAGTTCTAGGTCTCTTGATGCTGTATTTCCCTCTCCTTTGATACATAACAAAAGAAGCAAGGGTTTTAATTTTGTAACCATGGCCAGCATTGACAGCTTTGCTTTCAATGAAAACCTGAAGGCTTCTTAAGGAAAAAAAAAAACTTGTAAAAAATTGCTTCTAACAAAGACAGAGAAATACAAGATAGCTCTGTTGTGGTCTGAAGAGGACAAACCTCTCAAAATTGTTGGACGAGAGTCTGTAGGCAGTTCCAGTATGCATCCGCTCTTCCAGGTTCTTTAAGATGAATGTTGTATTTGGCTCCAAATGATAAACGAGTAGACTGCTGTGACTACAAGTCACTCTGCAGTGTTGTCTTGAGAACAAGTAACTGGATTATAATAGTTCTCTAGGCTGCCCTTTGTTCCTAATGGAGCCTCCGATTCTGACCTCTTTGGCTTGTCAATTCCAAGTGATATAGGTCAGCTCCTAGGACTAAATACACACTTGAAAAGTTCAGCTAGAATTTGAAAAAAAAAGAGCAAAACCAGATTTGCTACTCTAAAGCAATGGACCACATCACATTGCTTATTTAATTATTCCTAAATAAGTCATAAATGTGCATAGCATACCATTGCAAATAGGGGATTAAAAAACTGTACATCCTTTACTTTAAACAGAAGTGCTAATACTGACCTAATTACACAGATGGTGGTATGAACTGCATAATTTGCTTTGAGATCTGTATTTAAACCATGAATAAAGTCTGTTTCACTTTTCAGTGATTGAATTTTTTTTTCCAAAGTAGGCCTAATAACTTTCTGAGTTTATCTGAATTGTGTGTTTTATATTCTAGTGAGACAATTTCCAGCTACTGTAAAGATAATATTTAAAAATTCTATATTTTAAATGTACCCTCTCTTTCTGATTTCTTTGTGTTCTCTGCTAAACAACCAGAAGCACTGAAAAATCTGCCATGCATATAGACAGAGCATGCAAACTTAAAAGAAACAGCTATTGGTTTCTTGATTTTTTTAAAATGATATATTTATTTATTTCTCTTATTTAGAGTAACTGCTGGAATGTATGCACAGATGGCAGAACTACTCACATCCTTTGGTTTCATATTACAGAGTGCTTACTTCCTTGATTTTTTTCTAGATTTAATTTTCATAAAACCTGTAAACTTTAGAGCTAATCTAACTTGTGTGGGGACCTGTTCAGCTCCTGGCAGCTCAGGGAATTACCCAGTTCCTAAGTGAGGGAGACAGAGAGACATACACTCATACCTCTTTATCCTCCCCTATATGCTATTTAACCAGGGCTGAGAATTGATACCATCATTGCTTTTAAAATAAAGCAGCCCATTTTGTATTCATGCTTTATGCCTAGCTAGGAAGCCACAGTGTTAAACAATACTGTCTGCTACTGTAAAATTAATTTCATGTCTTAAAGGTCTTTTCAGCCACAAACAGAAACAAAGTCTTTTGGGTTCAACCAGAACAGAAGGGTAAAGCATTTAATATGGCATGTTGTACGATTGCTCCAGTCATGAAAATGCTGAATCTCATCTGGTATAAGATGCTGATTTCCGTTAGCATGGCAAGTGGAGAACCAACAGGTACTGGTAAGTGTTGTGCCATTGAAAGAATACATCAAGGGTCAGGTGGTCAAAAACCCTCAGTTCCCAGTGTTTATTTAACAACAGTGCCTTGAGGTAGGAAGCCAGAATACTTTCTTGCTTTAACCTAAAGCTCCTACATCTATGCATTCTTCATTCTTTCTCTGTTTTTTCAATCACTCTTTTATTACAATACCTCAGGCACTTTACCAGCACTTGTCCTCAGGTCTGATCCACCACCTTGTTGAAGTCAACAGAGAGATTTTCATTGGCTTCCCTGGGCTTTGAATCATGCCCCTTAGGCCTGGATTTTCTACAGCAACATTTCCCAAAGTGTGGGGCGCACCCCCCTGGAGGAGTGCAAAAGGTTCTTAGGGGGAAATGCATTCTGCCCATGTACCTCCCACTACTTCAGCTGCTATCACATCCTCCCCCTTGCTACCCCCCACCCCCACCAATTTCTTCCACTGACCAGCAATCAGAGCATCAACATCAATCAGTGGCTGGGGAAAATTGGTGGAAATGCCACTAGGGACCATTTTTCCCCTTGCTGCTGATTCTCTCCACACCTGGCTGCAGCTGATTCTGTTTGCTGGCAGTATTCAGAAGCCAGAGAAATCAGCAGCAGGGAAACCAGTGGCAGCAGCTAAAGTGGAGGGGGATATGCAAGAGTGCCTGACCCTGCTACATCGAGATATAAACCAAATTGGGGAAGTGCTGCTGTTTGGTATTTAGATACTTGACTCCCACTGATTTCCTACAGCACCCTGTCCTCATAAGCCTTGTATACTCAGTGGGTTTTTCATAAATATTATTTGGGCTGCTAGCAGTAGTATGAATTACAGGATTGGGTGCTTCAGCAAAAGTAAATGGCGAGGGCAAAGGGGACTCTGGGACACTGACCTGCTCTGTGCTTCTCTCTTCAAGGTGCTTAGTATCACTGATAATGGTAGCCATTAACATGTATTCTTCAATTACACAAAAAGTTACATTAAAAGAGGCTGGCAACTCAAAGGTTAAGAAAGGCAGAATTAAGGTTACCTGTGCAACTTTTAATTCAGCCCCTTGCAGGATGATGGTGCATTTTTACATTATTACCTATTTTCCTGCAGGGTCCCTGCCTTATACAGTGCACAGGATAGGTCCAGTCAAGGGAGGAATTAGGGTTTTCTACTGAAGACAACTGTAGGTTCATTTCTTGCCTCATTTGTTGCAGAAGTTAGAAGGTGTTTGGCTAATACTACTGTGGATTGCATGAAGACAAAAGACAGGTTTATCACTAAAGCAGCTAAATGCTTCTCTTGAGAATTGGATTATGTTCCTATTTCTTCTATGAAATTCTCCTGTGATACTACCCAAGCCATGTTACTGAGGTGTTCACTAATATTTCAACATTGTATACATGTTGAAATATTATGTTAAGCGGTTACCAATTAATTATACCATTCATTGCAGGCTCAGACTACAAAGCTATGAATATATGCATACCAAGTAAACATGGGCAGAAGGCAGATGTATCAGATGAAGCATGCTGTAGCTTACAAAATCTCATGCCTCCTTGAACAAGTTAGTCTACAATGTGCCATGCTGCCCTACCTTCTGCCTAACTTCTAAACATGGCTAACTCCCTCTCTATATACAGAGGATTAGCAGGGGAGAAAGCACAAAGGCATTTTGTTGACAATTTAGAAAGTGGGAAAGGGAGACTAATATAATGGACTAACTGGAAGAATAAACATATTGATAGTGCATGAGAGATCACAGATAGGCTAGGGGTAGGTCCTGAAGGGGAACACAAGTATTTTATGGTTAACAAGACAGAAAAAGGGAACCAAAATAAGGCATGACTATGGAAATGGTTTCTGCAGAAGTGTATGAGTGAGGCAAGACTGCATTTATTAAGACCAGAGGAAAAGATCTGAGTTGATAAGAATTCTGACTATTGCTAGACGTGGAGTTCCTGTTGGGGGAAGGGAGGGAGGGGAATAGTATGATTGAGTTGGGTTTGTGCTCCGGGGGTGGCTGGAATACCCCCTGGTGGCCACACAACCTTTACCCAGCTCCAGCCCTAGGGTGCCCTCTCCTGCCACACATTTGATGTAATTGTTTGATGGGAAGGGAGGCTGCCTAATGGATCCTAGAGCTCACCCCAGTTCCTCGAGATGACTGCTTATTCTCCCAGGCACCTGTTAGCAGTAACGGGTAGTTACATGGCTCCAACCATCCTTTACACTGCACCCATTCCACCCAGCAGTTACCAATTAATGGTGGGCATCTGGCCCCACCTCAGGTCCTTATACCTTTGTCATAGCCTCAGGTTTCCTGGTCTCAGCCCTTTTTCTGTTGTCCTGGGCCTGATTTCTGGGTCCCAGCCTGAGTCTCACCCTCTCAGGTTATGCCTCCTTGGGCTCCTGGCCACTGGCCCTGGTCTCGCCCCTCTAGGGCTGTTTTCTTCACTGCCTTGGGCACTGCATTTGATGTAGCTCCACTTGGGCTCCTGGCCCCAGTGTCCTCTGTTCTGGGTCCCTGGCCCCCATCTCTGTCCCTCTCATGCACAGCAGCTGCCTGGCCCTGGCTCTGCCCTCCCTGGGCCCTTGTCCAGCTCCTGTCTGAGCTAGGTTTCCCCCTTTTTTTCTCTCTCTTTAGGCTGCTCCACCATGGCCTCCACTCACTCCCCTTTCAGCCACTCCCAAACCACTAGTCAAAACTGTAACCCAGGTGTAAGCCTTCTGGCAACCACAACTGAACCCCCTCTGGGTCCAAACATAAGCAACAGGTACCTACCTGCATAACACAGCTTCTCCTTGCTTCAGGTAATAATCCCCTGTAGGGCATCAACACTCTGTTCACCTTCCTCAAGCCAGCCCCAGTGCCAACTAGCAGAGCTCCTGTACTCCCCTTGCTCTGCAGCTCTTGCCTCAGCAGCCTCCAGGATCAGACTGCCTCTTCTGGGTTAAGCCCTTGGCTTTGGAGTCTCTCCCTGGGTTACATCCCCCGATAGCAAACCTTTGGTGTCTTATCTCCATTCCTAGTGGGTTTCAGGAGTCAGGGACCCCCTTCCCACAGTCAGGGAGCTTCTCATTCTGCACCTTACTGGGCCAGCCTGCCTGACCTGGCTCAGGTCCTAGGCTTATATGCAGCTTAATCCCTGCTCCTTCCATTCCAGTGGCCCTCCAGCTGAACACTGCTTTCTGGTTAGGGCCTGATGGCCAGGGATCCTGGTTCTCTCTGATAAAAAAAAATCATCCCCAATGTCCAGGTTAAAAAAGTAACCCAAAATCCACATTTTTCCGTGATCAAAATGAAACACCACCAAATATACATCTATGTATTAGAAGACATACAAACAACTAGAACTCTTGGTTTCAAAATGATACCTTTTATTAGACCAACTGGAAAATCGCAGGAAAATTGTCCTTTTCTGCAAGCTTTCAGGATCAACGTCTCTTTATGTGGATTTTGGGTTACTTTTTTAACCTGAAAATTGGGGATTTTTATATCAGAAAAAACCAGGATCCCTTTTGATGGCTGCTTGCCATGGCAGCTTATGACTGCTGCTCTAGCAGCATCCCTGCTGCATGAGCTAGGCTCTGCTCTACTGACCTATTTCCTTAGCTCCAGATTCCCTTACAGACAGTTTGCCCCGGGAAGAGTGCTCCTAACTGGTTGCAGGTTCACCCCTTCCCTCTAATGTACAGCTCTTTGCCTAGGCAGCAGTGTTTCTTTGCTGCATTCCTTCTTGTGGCTAGCCCCTGTTGAGCTATTTGGGTTGTGTCTGCTGCCTTTTCTCTCCTTAAAGAAACAGGAGCCCAGGGCTCCCTGCTACATATGATTACTAACAATGTGTACATTATAAATATGATAATGCATACCTATTGCATTATTGCACACAGGCTGCAATATGGTTTCAAAATACTCGTTTTTTTTTTTAACTTTTGAGGGTGTGACTTAACAACTGTACCCATGTTCCTTTAACACACTTTGTGTTTAATTAATGTAGGTGGGAATGCAGCACAGTTATTAGGATAGCCATCTGCGCTCCCACCCACTGCTTTAGCTCTTAGTCCTAGGTTTCTTTTCCAGGCCATCCCTGTCTCTTTACTAATACCCTACCATCAAGTCCAAGTCTTTTCCCTGCTTTCTGCTTCTAATCCCAATCTTCTGTCCTACTGAAAGGTTCTTCTTTCTAAGCTATTCAGTTTCTCACTGAAGATTCACCTTTTATTCCCTGTGCACCCTCACCCTGCTGCCTGGGCTTACCACAGAGGGCACTGAAAAACCAAATGAGGCAGTTGTTTTGATTTTAGATCTGGTAGTCAGTCATTACGCCAACCAGAGCTATAATTGCAGAGAAAGTTCAGATCTGACCTGCTTCTGAGCATTCCTCTTGTAGACAGGCTATTTGGGGATTAGTAGAGACAATTCAGATATCATCTGATGAATGTATGCTAAGTGTTGGGGATTTTTTTAAAGCTAAATTCAGGTGGATTTTAATGGGGGTGGCAAAAAATCTAGACCTGACACAAAAACCACACTTCAAAATTTCAACTTTGTGTTCCAAAGCCTGCGTGTTAATGAACTGGAAGAAAAAGACCTTGAGAACTTTCTAAAATGAGACAAAGCAGGCCTCATTCTCAGAAATGGCTGAACTATTTTTGGCCAATTTTTTTCACCAAAAGACAGGGATGTAGCTTATGCCTAGCATGTAAAATTTCAGCCCAAACAATTAAGCTTTAGTAAAGTTATAAGCAACTGAAACAAAACCTCTTAGTAGAAAATAATAGACAACCTTTTGATTATATGTGGTGTACTTTTCCAGACCCACATATAATCCAATAAGTGTAACTATCATTCTGTTCACAGCTCCTCTTATGGCACCCAGTGACCTGAGAGTTTCCAAACATTGGCCTGGAGTTATTCTATCGTGGAACAGCAATGTGAGGGACGAAATGGAGATGAATGATGTGATATATGTTTTGACTTATAAATTTCTCAATTCAACTAAAGAAGTGAAAGTAAGTCACTTATTACGAGGGCTGACAAATGGTTAAAACAACAATCACAATTAATTGTGAGATTTAAAAAAATAGTTGCAATTCCTCGGAATTTTGATTGCGCTGTTAAACAGTAGTCAGCACCGGGGCCCCACACCCAACGGCCTGCAGCCTGTGCACCCTGGGGCTCTTCCCCCATGGCCACCAATAGCACACAGCTCTAGCCCCACCCCTGGCCCACTCTAGATTTGCACCAGCCAGAACAGACCAGCTGGAACCTGTGTGAACAGCCCCAACCCCGACCCACTCCATGCCTGCTCCAGACTCACCTGCCCATGCTGAGCAGCAGCAGCAGCCAGGTGGAAGCTGCTGCTTGTTGCAGGGGAAAAGTGGCCCCTCCACCTCACCACTGTTGAGCCCTTGCTGCAGCCACCTGGAGCCCAGCTTGGGCTGCCCTGTATCTCCTCTGCACTGACACCACTGCTCTGCTGGGCAGCCTGGAGGCGGCAGTGGTAGCAGTGGAGAGCAGCTGCAGGGCAGCCTGGGTATGGGATCTGGGAGGCTGCAGAAAGAAGGGCATGGCAGCGGCAAGGGGGAGGGGCCACTTTCCTCCCAAGCCATCAGCAGCTTCTGCCCAGCTGTTGCTGCTGCTGCCACGCTCAGTGTGGGCAGGCAGTCTGGGGCAGCTGTGGGGTAGGTTGGGGTCGCGGCTGTGCATGTGCTTTCCTGCTGGTTCAGAAGTGGTCTGCTCCACTGGGCTGAATCCAGAGCAGGTGCAGGGCAGGCCCAGGTCAGGGTTGTGTGTGCAGGTTCTGGTTGGTCCAGAACTGCTCTGCTTTGCCAGGCTGGGTCTGGAGAGGGCAAGGTGCAGGCCGTATTTTCCCTACCACTGGTCAAAATGGATGTGAGTGATTAATGCTCATTTAAAAAATTGTGTTAATCTGTTTTGCATTAATTATGTATGTTAATGGTGCTTAACTGACAGCCCTACTTATTACACATAATTTTAATTTTAAAATATAACACTTGATTTCAAGAATTTAGGCTGTATTGGTTTTCTTTTTAATAAACAGTTATATCATCCAGGGATCCTAGTTTTCACTGATTAAAAAAAAATCTGCCAATTTTTGCATTTAAAAAAGTAACCCAAAATCCACATTTTTCCATGATTAAAACGAAACCTCACTAATATATATATCTTTCCATATACACACACACACACACACACATACGTATGTATGCATATGTATGTATGTATGTATATAATCATGGAAAAATGTGGATTTTGGGTTACTTTTTTTAATCTGAAAACTGGGGATTTAAATCAGAGAAAACCAGGAGCCCCAGATATAACACACAGTCCTGTTAATCATATTGCAAATCTCCATTTTCTTTTTTCCAGGAAAGATCTTCAGAAACAGAAAAGAAGATAAGTCTCAATTTATATCCTGGCTTTGTAGCTAAAGTTAAAACACAGCTTCTTTTGAGTGGAACAAAGAAGGTTATTGTGGAGAGTAATTGGACGGAGTTTATTTACATTACTCCTGGTCAGTTTGTTTTCTGCATACTATTAAGATATTAAAACTTCATGACAATAACCTACCTCAGTTCTAAGATCTGGCCAATGCTAACCATTTCTTTTCTATGCACTGTTTTTAACACCTGAGGTATACCATGATTAGGGACCTACCAAATTTGCAATTATGTGATTTTTGTGGAAGCTGTGAATTCAGACAGGCTCAATGAAAAATGACAGGATCCATGAAAAATGGTGGGTTCCATGATTTTGGTGGGCTTGCTGCTGCTGTAAAAACACCCAACTTACTGAAAATAAAATGCTGGCTTCCCAGTCAGGCAGCCTGCTAGGAGGAAAGGCAGGGTGGGGGGCTATCGGCACAAAGGGCTGCTGCCCCTGGCTGCTGATTGACTGAGAGAGCTACCTGATGCGTGGCCTCACCCATCTCCACCAATCAAAGGTGAGGGGCAGGGCTGCATGCCAGACCACCCTCACAACCAATCGGCAGTGAGGGGTGGGGCTGTTTGATGGACAGCTTTCACAAACAATCAGGAGTGAGAGGTGGGACCCCTGGGGCCTCCTTGGCCAATTAGATGTGTAGGGGACCCGTTGCGCTCAGCCCATGAAAATGGTGGTTGGCCTCAGGATCTCCCCGCGAAATTGGCCAGCCGTTTCCTCGAATTAGGTAGACTCCCTAATCATGAGGGCGATATAAAAACATTGTCTCAAAGCCAATAATCTCATTTCATAGTCTACACAGTGGGAAAGATAGGTGAAGTACAATGCTTCTACAAAAGTACTACCTTTGCTCTACAGAGTAAAATGAAGAAACCACCTATTGTTCCCTTGGACTTCCCTTGCCACTGCGTTGTTTATGGAGCTTTCCTTCCATAGCAGATGGTCGCTACAGAATCCAGAGTGTGGTGGTTTTACTTAGCTACTGCAAGATAAATTGTCCTGTCTGCAAATGGTTTAATGGAGGAATTCCTGGCAAAACAAGTAAAAATATTATCTGATTCCAACTGTTCTGGAGGTAGTGGCAGACATGTCCTGTCACTTTAGCTGTCTTCTAGAAATTGGGATCCATCTCTTTATCTCTTTCTCATGGATTTGTGCTGGGACCTATCATAAGAAACAATGTAAAATTTGCAACAGCACCTCATCCTGGTTTTATTTTGTTTTTTGGTTACAGTGTATATTCAGAATCTCTCATGTGTCATATACAACATTTCTAATTTAAATTGTACGTGGGGTATTAAAACAGAAGCTCCTGAAGATGTTCAGTATTTTCTTTCCTATAGGTAAGAGCAAGGGCAGGCAATTATTTGGGCCCACAGGCCACATAGGCAGTTCTGGAGAGCTGCCACAGGCCAGTCAGTACCTCCCCCCACAACAGCCATTGACAACATGCCACCACCAACAGTGTACAGGCCCAACCCTGACCCCGGCCTGCCCCGCCTTTCTAGGCAGCCCAGGTGCCCCCACTGGCTCCTTCTGGCTGCCACTGCCACTGGCCCAAGCCCCATGGTACTGGCAGGGACCCATGTACACAGCCCCAACCCCAGCCAGCGCCCACTCCAGACTCAGCCCAGCAGAGGGAACCAGCTCTAGACCACCCAGAACCTAGGATCACAGCCCCAATGCCGGCCTGCTCTGCACCTGCTCTGGATTGCCTGTCCACGCTGAGCAGTGGCAGTGGATGAGCAGAAGTTTCTGTTCAGCCATCCCCCCACCACTGCCAGCCCTCCCCCCCCACCTCCACTGCATACCCAGAAGGCAGCAGGACATGCCATGGGCCAGGCAGTGCCTAATTCAGGTGGGGTCAAGGGACTCGCTGTGGGCTAAACAAAGTCCCTCCACAGGCCAGATCCAGCCCATGGGCCATATTTTGCCCACCCCTGGGTAATAGTCTCATTTAAACAAGAATAAAGCAATACTCAAAATCTTCTGAGCTCTAAAATACTCTTATTGGCTTCCCACAGGCATAATAAAAGAGATTATGAATGCCAGCTACATTTTAAAAATATAAACAAGAAAAACACTGGTTGCCACTTCAAAGAAGTATATTTTATACCTCCAAGCAAAATCAAAATAAACGTATCTGTAAAGGATTTAAGAAATAATTTAGGAACACATACCTATTACAAAGCCTTTATCCCTCAGAGAATAGGTAAGTGTTTTCTGTTATTGAATATTTTTATCAAATGTTCACAATGTGATTTCACTGAGGAAGACAAGTATGACTGTTCATATGCATTAATATTTGGGTAAAACTTCTGCAATCTCAAAAGCTGATATGGTCCAAAAAAAGTATTTTTGTCTCTAGTATACAATAATTATTCATAATTAGAGCTCCTTGAAAAATGATAGATTATTTATGAAAAGAAATAAAAATATTGAAAATATTTATTCTGCACATTTTGAAAAGTAGTGATTTATTTTTAAATTTTGACTATCTTCATAGATTGTTCCAATGGAAAAGATTGACTTTTACCCTTAATTTCCTCCTCCTTGTCCTTTCTCCCCCTCTTTATTATCCACTTTATTTCCCTTTTCCCCCTTTTTTGCACTTGAAAAGCAGTAGGCAGAGAAGAGAAAATTGAAAATAAATAATTTTCTTAATTTTGGAAATATATTTGAAAGGAAGATTTTTCATGAAGAATTCTATTTCTAGGGTTTTTGTCAAAATTATACAATTCATTTGAAGACAATGCACTTGAAATGATCATTTTTGCTGATCATATAAATTTATCTTTTCATTGTCTGTCATAAATTTTTATAGCTGTCTAAGAGGTGAAAAGCTTTGATAGTAGGTGTTGGTAGTTTCCTGTTTAACTCTGATTCACATTTTTGTTATAAATATATAATTGCCCTTAAATGTTGATTCTAACCTCAGCTACACCGGAGAAAATCTAGAATGTCTCCACTGAAATCATAGCAAAAAGAAGTCCATTACTGTTGTTTCAACAGTACCACTGTTTGCACCACTGTAAATTATTTCAGAACACAGCCCACACCCAAAGCTGAGTCTCATCTATACTCTGAGTGACATTCTGATCATATTTGTATTGATTTATATCAATGGCATTTCACGACATTACTTGAAATTAAATTATGAGCAAGTCTGACCCAAACACAAGATATCCCACTTACAACAGATTTCAATTTGGAATATTGGTTTTTGAAGTGAACCAAAACAATTTTTAACTTCCTGTGAAATGGAAATTGTGAAATAAAACCCAACACAAAACAATAGAAACATGCATGGTGTTTTTGAAACTCCCTCGAGGCTGCAGCAACAGAGGGCCTTGTTATACATTGCACTTTGAACTATTCAAATGTTGATCAGTGTTAGTGCTTCTCTGACTGTCCCTCACCTGCACAGCTGTGACTTGTCATTAGAGGGCTGGTGAGCAGGGTGATTAATCGGGATCCTAGTTCTCTCTGATAAAAAAAAAAATCCCTAATTTTTGGGTTAAAAAAAGTTACCCCAAATCCACATTTTTCCGTGATCAAAATGAAATGCCACTATCTATCTATCTGTCTATCTGTCTATCTGCCATAAACATTAGGGCTGGAGTGGACCTCACAAGATCATAAGGTCCAACCCCCTGCCCAAGGGGCAGGGAGTCAGCAGGGGTCAAATGATCCCAGCAAGATAGGCATCCAAGTTTTTTTTCAAAGTATCCAGAATAGGTGCTTGCACCACCTCTGGGGAGAGTCTATTCCAGGCCCTGGGAACTCAGACAGTAAAGATTTTCACAGTAGCGTGGTGTGCGCAAGCCACGCTAATTAAAAACGCCTGAGCATCTTGTGTATCAGCATCCCCACACTGAAAAGTGGTGGCAAGTCACTTTGAACCAAAGCTCAATGAACAAGCTTTAAAGTACCCCACTGCCATTTTTCAGTGTGGGGACGCTGATACACATGATGCTGCTGGTATGCATTAATTTCTGTGCTCCAGCAGACTTGATCAATCAAGTCTGTTCTGACATGCTGTGTTTACAGCATATTGGAGCAGCCTCACTGCATGTCTATAGGAGCCCATTAGTGTCACCAGTCTGAGCACATTTTGCATGCTTAAGTAGTTCTTAAACAGATTTTTTTTCCCATTTAACAAGCTGTTTCGTTCTACAGCTGCTAGCTTATGAAGTTGCAGCCATGCAGCAACAATAAATGCATACACAATCTATCATGCATACCAAAATGGAGCAATTTTGTCCATAATGGTCTGTTAACAGTTTAAGAATGGCACTCATTACCCAAAAGAAGGCAGATCATGGGAGGAATCATGCTATTTTCAGAGTTGCAGTGACTTCCACAAAGCACTGCAAGTATCCCACAATGCACTGTTCAATACACAAAACATAGAGCTAGCAACAGCCCAAAGGTCTTTGGGTCACTTGTCTGCAATGCTGAGTACACATTTCAGAGGCTATCCTCTCATAGGAAAACAATGATTCAATCACGCAATAGAAGCTGGCTCTTTGTCTAGGTGAAGTTATTGCATGCCAGTAAATATGTAACAGTTGCAACAAAGCAGCTTCCTGTGAAATAAGCCTTATCCTGTGTCAGTTATCCCAAAAATGTGAATAGTGTATGTTACGTCGTCTGTATTATATTCATATGAACACATACTGAAAGAGTATGAAATGCTTACTCTTCTCTCTGCTTATTTTCAGAAAAACTGAATCCTCCAAATAATGTGTCCATTGTCCTTGAAAATGGAAGCATTCATATTTCCTGGAAACATCCACCTACTATTGGTTCCTCAGAAAGGTCCTGCTTTACATACCAGGTGAAAATTAAAGATCTAAAGGTATGCAGTTTTATGTCAATACATTTCTTAACCAGCTCTATCCCAACAGGCCACCACTTAGGTTAATCTGAGTTAAATCTTGATAAACTTCTAAGAAATCCCAAGTACCTTTGAGAGTGACTCAGTTTTGACCACTGTCACTTCTAAGCAGAGCTGTTTGAAGAATGGAGACCTATTTTCATTTGGGAGTGGTTTAGACTCATTGCAAAGGAACTGATTTTTGTTCATATATTTTAATTGAAAATATTATTAAACCTACTACAAAACAATTATTGAAATGTTTCATTTGCTGGTGAATGAATTCAGTAAGATAAAAAATATGAAATACATCTCTCTTAAAAATAAAATAAATGGTACTAAATGGGAAAAGGAAACTCTAAAAAGTGCTGAGACATCTCTATGAGAAAACTTGATTAAGAAAAAATATAACAATATTTAGATTAAAAATATCCAGTATGTGATGTTGATTAGCTTTACTTCTGATTACTTGATATTCAAATCATCCTTGGGCAGTATAGAGATTGGGAGAAGTCCTAGATGATTGGAAAAGGACAAATACAGTGCCCATCTTTAAAAAAGGGAAGACAAAGAACTACAGACTGGTCAGCCTAACCTCAGCCCCTGGAAAAATCATGGAGCAGGTCCTCAAGGTATTTATTTCTAACCACTTGGAGAAACTGATTAGCAGGGATCCTGGTTTTCTCTGATTAAAAAAAAAATCCCCAATTTTCAGGTTAAAAAAAAAATCCAAAATCCATATTTTTCTCTGATTAAAATGAAACACCTCTAATACATAAATGTATATGTAGTGGTATTTCATTTTAATCATGGGAAAAAGTGGATTTTGGCTTACACCAGGATCCCTGGTGATTAGGAACAGTCAGCATGGATTTTCCAAGGATAAGTCATGCCTGACCAACCTGATTGTTTTCTGTGATAAGACAACTGGCTCTATAGATATGGGGAGACTAGTGGATGTGATATACCTTGGCTTTCACAAGCCTTTTCATACCGTCTCCCACAACATTCTCTCAGGTAAGCTAAGGAAGTATGGATTGAATGAATGGTCTGTAAAGTGGAAAGGAAATTGGCTGGATCATTGGGCTCAGAGGGTAGTAGTCAACGGTTCAATGTAAATGAGTCCATTTTTGGCTAGGAAGGCCAATCCTAGAGCCACAAATGCCACAGGTGGTGGTTAAAGGGAGAGTTGGACCACAGTTTTCTTGGTCTTGTTTCTTTTACTTCTGTTTCTGTTGTTTTGTTTCCCCCAGGGCAAGATGGTTTTCCTTGAAGTAAGATGTCCTCCTCTCACAAGACATCACCACGTAGCCCTGTCTTAGGCTAGCCTTTTCCAATTTGTGGTGTCAATGCCACACTTCTTAATGTTCACCTTATAGGTGTCCTTGAAACATTTCCTCTGGTCCCCACGTGTCCTTTGTCTTTGGCTGACTTCGAAGTATAGAAGTTGTTTTGGTACACGTGCATCAGGCATGAGCATACAGTGTGCTGTCCACCGCAGCTTATATTGAATAATTAACACTTCCATACTAGTAGAGTTTGTGTCAGTGAGGACACTGGCATTTGTGTGACAATCCTCCCACTTTATGCCAAGGATCTTCTGGAGATAGTACTGGTGATGGCATTCCAGGCTTTTTAGGTGGTAGTGTTGGCTACAAAGGACCAACTTACAGGATCAGCATAAAATTCTAGTTTATTAGATGGATGCAAAAGTCAATTCATAAACGTTGGAGCTGATCCCCTCAAACACACACACGTTCACGCACACACATACATTCACAGTAGCTAGCTATGAACACTAAGCACCGATGTCAAGACACACTTATCCCCAAGTGCTGGAGTCTGTCGTCGACGGCCAGTCGAGGCTTCTTTCAGTGTGATGTTGCTTCGGAAGGGGGTCGCCGGCTGGTTCTTCTGTCTGGGCAGGCAGGGTGCTGGTCAGGTCAAAGAGGGTGCCATTGGGGGTCATTCTTTGCTGCCTTTTATCCCTCTTTGGCAGACTTTGGTGACTCCCCAGTTTTCAGGCTTACCCAATCCAGGGGTCGTTGACCTCATGGGACGTCCCCCTTGGTGGTTGCTGGATGGCAGCTGTCAGCCCCAGGGGTCATGTCCACAGGTACGTGCAGTCTTGGGAGTCTGTTGATGAAGCTTGATTAATGCACTGCTGTGATGAATAGGGCTCTGGGGGCAGTTGATTGCGGGGGGGGAGGTAATTCAGTCCCGAGAGTCGGTCGGTCGGTGTACTTTATTACAAGTACACTTTATATTTAAAAATATATGTATCATAATATAATAAAAGAAGAAGAGGAAGGAAAGAAGAAAAGGTAGAAAAGAGGGCAAATACTGCAAAAGGGTCTTTTTGCTATACGGAGAGGCTCCACATTGGAGTGGGGGGGCAGGCAAAAAAAAGGTTTCTTGCTACATTATTCCCCACCTTGACACTGGCTGTCAGGGTGATGTCACTATAATATTCAGCCTAATGCTTTAGCCTCATCCATTTTATCATGTACAGTACATAGGGTGGCAATGAGTTTACAGTACAGGACTACAGTTAGGAATGTTAAAATTATCATTAGGGTGTACTGGGTAACTTCTTTGATTTTGGTGAGTACCTGGGTGACTTGGTGGTTATTAGTTTGGATGATAGTATAGGTTTTCTTGGCTTGGGACTGTAATGCTTATAGGGCTTTTTAGAGTTCTGGGGGTGTGGTAGCATGTCTGAGGGCTTGGGGCGGATATACCGAGATGAACTGGGGTAAGTTTAGATTGAGAGAGACTGTACTGTGGGGTGATTGACTGATGTAGCACGGTCCTCTTTCTGTACTGAATGTCACACCCAGTGATGGATCTGACATTACACAGACAGATGTTGTGTTGCAGGCCAGTAATATTATAAAATTAATTCACTGTAATAGATTTACAAAGGGTATGGAGACAAACACATCCAAAACCAATGCTGACAAGTAGGGATTGAGCACTGGGGTCTTTGAACATTACATAGGGACAAATTGAAAAATCAGGGTCAAAGCAAAGGGTTTGGGACTGTAACATAAGTTCTTCACAAGGAAACCGGAGCCAACATTCTCACAGTTATTGACTGTGATGGCTTTAAATTGGCCATTAGGTTGTTTTAGGCCCAATGTTTGCCTGTCTGTGGGGTCATAAAAGTGTTATTGATCAGGCTCCCCAATGCTATGATTGGGAATACTTGATTTATTTTACCACTAACCACCCCCGTGATTATAAGATTGATGGACCATAAATTTGGATCAAACCCGAATCATATGAGTTGGTTATAAGGGGTTAACTGTGGAGACTGCCTGATTTCCTTTCTGAACAGATTTTGTAGTTCTAGAGGGATGTGTCCTCTCAGGCCTTGAAGTATGATACCCTAAATTACATCTAGGTACCATACCTGGGCCTGGGTACACATGAGGGCAAAAGAGGTGTTTTGCCCTAGGGCTATGATAGCTTCAGTCAGAGTGTGGGAATCCTGGGAAGCTACTTGAGTTATCCACTGCATAAGGGAGGCAATAGAGACACTTAACTGAATAGAGGTTTCAAAATTGTCCCTTGTAGATCTGTCCAATTGGTGAAGCAGATTTTCCACAGTTGCCAATCTGTTTCGGAGCACCTCTGTGTTCATGGTATTAAGGATACCAGTGCCAGTCCCAATTGCTCCCAGCACTATGTCTAGTGATCGTCAGCGTCATGGGCCACTGGATCCAGAGCTGTTGGAGGCCTCATACATGACCTGCTGAGTCCATGCCTGCCATCCAGTACTTAGCAGGATGACATAATTGGCATACTGTGGATACAGCTGGTTGATGCTGTGGGATTGCAGATTGATAGTGACATTCCATAGGGATTGTGTCTTATTAGTCAATAAAGGTTTATTGATATCCTGCTTTACTATGAAAGGTCTAATCTCATGTCTCTCTGCTTTGTCATGGATTATGATTTCTGTGACTATGGTTGGGGAGTCTTTGGAAATAGAAGCTTCCCACAGTCCAGAGCTGGATAATGAGAAGTCATACATTAGCGTTCCACAGCTGGATAGGGGACATTCCTCAGAGCAGCTGGTGGCATTGAAGGTAAAGTCTATGAGTTCAGATTTTGGATGGGTGAAGTTGACAGCCGACTGTGCTTCTGGGGAGCTGGTGATCATTTATGCTGGGGCATCTGGACTAGTACTATTACTGCCCCAGCACAACTGGATGGTGTGTTCCTCAGCAGGCAGGGGACTGGAAATGTTCCACGCTATACAGGAACAGGGGAAAGGTGGTGGTGGAGAGAGTATGGTTGTGGACACTGTGGGGCAGGTGTCGGTCTGGGTGAATGGATCAGTCTAAAAGCATGGGAGTGCCCAGTGCACCCGGTCAGTCTGTCCTGCATCCACCCTTCCTTCTGCTGGAATGGGAATTCTAGCTGTTTTCCAGACCTTACCACCCTGGGCATCCTGGATTTCTCTACCAGGATTCAATCCTATGCAAACACACCCTGCATGGGGATCGCATCTAGACTTGAGAAAAATGACAAGGTGGGAGGAATCATGCAGGTTAAATTCATTTATGCCATTCCAAATCCACCAGGAGTGGGCGGCCCAAGGTTTGCAGCCTTTCTGATGGCAAGTCGGCCACCGTAGGTCCTGGGTGCCTTACAGGCTGTCATTACAGCTAGGTACCTCCAGACAGCATTTGACATCTTTGCTTTGTAATGTCAGTTCACTGTTTGAATCACAGTGAAGGCTGGCAGTAAGCAGGTGGATCCACATGGAAAGGATTCCCCGCAGACCTAGGATCTCCATGTTGAAAGCTTTAGCACTTAGAACAAAACAAAACAAAACAGAATTGGCTCAGGAGGGTAGGGGAAAGGGGTCAGGTAAATTAGTCAGAGGTGCGTGCCTGCTTAAATGCAAGTCTTTGTAGACCAGTGGGGTGACTACCTATAGGAGGGTGGCCGTCATAAGTCAGGGACTTATC